AGCCTGTTTCTATAAGAACAATAAAGTAGAGATTTAAGGTACATTTCCCACTCTTGAAAAAGAGCTTTGTGTGAGCTGGAAATCTTGTCTCTGTCACCAAAACAAAACAAAAATTTGCGACGTGCAAACGTGTAAAACCCAACAAAAAGGGTGGGGCGGGGCAGTTCTTCTGAGCTTCTCTACCCACAGACTATGATTGGTCTGGGGGTGGGAGAGTGCCTTTGCCCCCCCATCCCTAGGTTTCCCCTAGGCTCCCATGCCCCTAGCAGTGGGAGGAAACATCCCATGCTCCCCTGCCTCCAGGCCAATCAGGGCTTGGGGGCAGAGAATTGTGCAAAGTCTCCTCCCACCCTGTAACTAGAAAGGCCAGTAGCACTATGATAGATTTGGTTTGGGGTGGGGGGGGTTATACTTTGGAAATCTTCAAAGTCCATTCAACAGAATGTGACATTTTAAAAAGGCAGAGGATTAATGTTCTTCCATAACGTGCATAGTGCTTTTAATTAGGGATGTCTTTTGATGTGCGTTAACGTCTGCAATTAATGCAGGGCAGAATTAATGCGTTAATTTTTTAACTCATTAATCGCAGGTGTTAATGCTGCGCTGCCCCTTTGAAATGCCACCAGTGTGTTTCAAAGGGGCAGTGCATTAGGAGCCTGAGATCAGCTGGAGTTCCCAGCTGACCCTGGGCTCCATGCAGCGCTGTCCCTTTAAAGCACAGGAACGGCACTTCAAAGGGGCAGCGCAGTGGAGCCAGGGACTAGCTGGACACTCCAGCTGACTCTTCAGCCATTACCTCTCTTTGGTGAAAATCAATGTCTCTCCTTCTGCACTAGTATTTTTTCCAGACAGCACAGGTCCATGCATTCAGATATCCAGAGCAACCTGAACTGCCTAAACAGTCTTCACTTTGCTTTCTTCTCAAAGGCTATCGACAGTGTAATTGCCAGCCATTGAGAGTACCATCTAGTGATGAGTATCATAAAAACAATAAAAGTTTCTAGATACAGGCTAAAAGATTGCACAATCAAAAGGCTCTGAGTAACAGTACTGGATTCTCAATGGCGCTTCAGGGCTGGGCCACTCCACTCTGAGGTCTTGTCCCCATTCAGCCTCTTGGCATTCACTCCTCTCCATTCCTCCCCACTGGTTGCTCCTTTCTGTCTTCTCCTCTCCTATTGTGAGTAATGGACAGAGCCTCAAGGTTGGGGAAAGAAGCTGATAGTGGGCAGGGCCATGTCCACACATTAGGACCCAGAAAAGTTGATTCTGATCCTGATGAGTAATCCCAGAAAGTTCAAACCTATTGACAGCTGAAGTGGACTATGGTATTTCCCATCTGAATGACCCTTTACCATGGATGCACAAAGAAACAACTCTCAGGGAACAAGAAAATGACTCAAACCCTAATGAAAGACTGAAACTGAGAACAGAATAGGAGAAGGGGTATTTGAGGAAAGTGCGTGGTCAAGAATAAAGTGCTGGTAACTTCTCCTTTCTAGGTAGTTGACACAGTGGGCTTATGGAAATGTAATAGAATGTAGATGGAGGGAGACTTTAGTGTGTGTCAATTGTTAACTATTTAACTCTTACTTTTACTCACACACAATGTATTTTTTTCTTTAATAAGGAAGATTAAAGATTGTTTTAGAGCTGATCCCTCATAAGGGACAGTGCTGTGAGTGTGGGAATTTAGAGATGTGCCCTGAAGGTTGGGAACATCATATGGCTGAGTGCAGGAGCTTACTATAGAAGCTCTCTGGTTTTATTAAAGTTTTATTCCCCTCTCATTCAAGGGTTTGCTGTTTTAGTGAATCCCAAGATTGTTACAGGTCTGTTCCAAAGAACCTCATCTGTTATACCCTTGAGTAAATACGCCACCATACACGTCCTGGATCAGCTGCCTTCTTCCCTGTAAATGTTCACTCTTCCCTAACATCTAAATTGGTTTGCGTTGCTTGCTCTTTTAAGGGAAGTCCAAGTCTAGACTAGCCACAAAGAGCTAAATTTAAAGAGAATGAGAGCATCTAGGCAATTAAAGACATCTGAGCCTGATAGAAGAACTTCTCAGTTTGATGGCATTTAAGGGAAAGGAGCTTGTAGGGATTGCAGACCTCACAGAGAAGCAGTTTGCAATACCTGAGCCCCAGAGAGAGAGATTTATTTCAACTTTTTTTATTTAATAAAGTGCAACCCAAGCTGGGAATTTTGTTTCAGGTCCTTTTGGACTGTGTAAATGGTAGTCTCTAAGGTGCTGCAGGCCTAGTAATTGTTTAAGTTTTTTCTATAGCAGACTAACATAGTTACCCCTCTGAAACTAGCTCAGCAGGGAATCTGCCTGAAACAGGCTGAGCTGTCAGGGATTTACCTCTCCGCCCTGGGCTACTTCCTACCAGATTCACCAAGGGAAATGTTGCCAGTTTACTCTGGATGTTCCCTGCTGACTACCCTCCACAATTCAGTCCATCCGTAGCTCTTCCTGCAGAGCTGTGGCAGCAGCTCCTTCCTCCATGGCAGTCAGCCAGCCAGAGCTGCTCTGCCAGCCTTTATACCTGTCCTGCCAGTTGGAGCATGCCCAGTAGTACTGCGGGGGTAGGGCTCTTTCAGCCAGATAGCCCTGGTTAACTCTTCCAGGCCCAGTGTGGGGTTGGTACACCCCCATCATAGTTGGACATTAGGAGAAACTTCCTAATGGTCAAGATGGTTAAACACTGAAATAAATTGCCTAGGGAGGTTGTGGAATCTCCATCACTGGAGATATTTAAGAGCAGGTTAGATAAACATCTCTCAGGGATGATCTAAATCGGGGTGGGCAACCTTTTTTGGTTTGGGGGCTGTGACCCAGAGAAAAATCAGTTGGGATCCAGAGGCTGTGAGGAGGCAGAAAGGGGGCTGGAGTGCTGTGCTGGGAGAGGCCCTAAGCCTCAAGGGCCAGATCCAGGCAACCCAGGAGCCTCTTCCAGCCCCCAGTTTCCCCACCCTTTATCTAGATAGTACTTAGTTCTGCAGTTAGGGCAGAGGACTGGACTTGATGACCTCTCAAGGTTTCTTCCAAGTTCTAGTATTCTGTGATTCTTATGAGCAATACCCCTCCTCATGCTTGAAGATCTCCAAAGCATTTAGGCCCACCTCCAGCACAAACAGCCCCATGCAGCTTTAACATCAGCACTAGCATCTCTGAAGGGAATAAACATCTTTTATTAATAGAACTTCTACAGTATAAAAACATTCTGAAGATCCTGAACAACAACTTGGCAGAGATCAGTAATATAATTAGTTCATTCTGCAACTTACCAGTGTTTTAGATTCTTCCATGCTGGGAAAAATACTGTGACAGATACAACTGTTTAAATTCTGTAGCTGATAACACACTAATATGCTTTTCCTGACTAGTGTGGACAGGATTCCCTGTCCCCCCCATAACAATTATATTGTTCAAAGCATACTGTAAGTTACCCCCAAACCCTTGCTTAGGGCATTTTGGCATTATAAATACCACACGTCCATGCACAGCACCTGCAATGCTGTACAAATATTCTCATCATTGAGCTTGTGGATCCACCCATTCCTTTTCTCCATCCATGATGATTAGTACATGCCTTATTGCCCCCTTCTCACACTTTCCACCATGACTGCATGAGGTGGGGGAGAAGGCATGTGGTGGGACTGAGTCTCATGGATGGGTCAAGTGGGATCACCTTCCTCCCAAACTAGGATTGGACCTCCTGCCTCTGCATCCATCTGAAAGAGAAGCCAAAGGGAGAAAAATAGTCAGCAACAGAAATGAAACAACTAGACAGCTGCACAACATAGTGCAAAATAATTTAGATACCATGCAAGCGCCCTACTTCTTCATATAACACCAGACCTAGTATCAATCTGTCAGCAGTTCAGGGGTGGAGCTGAAGTCACAGCAATGTGACTGGAAGGATGCAGTGGGGTGCACGCTGTGGCCCTTACAGCACAGGCATGCAATCTTGGGAAGACAAACTATTTGCAACATCCATGGGAACACAAGCATAAGGAGGTGCAAAATATAAATATACCATAGACATTCGGGCTACGTCTAGATTGGCATGATTTTCCGGAAATGCTTTTAACGGAAAAGTTTTCTGTTAAAAGCATTTTCGGAAAAGAGCGTCTAGATTGGCATGGATGCTTTTCCGCAAAAGCAGTTTTTGTGGAAAAGCGTCCGTGCCAATCTAGATGCGCTTTTCCGCAAAAAAGCCCCGATCGCTATTTTCGTGATCGGGGCTTTTTTGCGGAAAACAAATCTGGGCTGTCTACACTGGCCCTTTTGCGCAAAAGGACTTTTGTCCGAACGGGAGCAGCATAGTATTTCTGCAAAAACACTGACAATCTTACATGAGATCGTCAGTGCTTTTGCGGAAATTCAAGTGGCCAGTGTAGGCAGTTGGAAAGTTTTTCTGGAAAAGTGGCTGCTTTTCCGGAAAAACTGGCCAGTTCCCCACAGGCTGTATGAGCTCAGTGCAGCAATCCACAGGCCCACCAGTAACTGAATGGAGGGTGTTTGTAGATACCATGCCTCAAGAATATATTGCCTCATGCAACAGTGAGGTTCCCTAGCACAGACAACCTACATCACTGATAGCATGTTAGAATATTAAAATCTAACAATGCATAGTTCTCAGATAGGCATTGTTTGTCTGGGACCTATCTGTATACTTAAACATCATTGTAGGTGGTGCAGTTCAGTTTTCACTACAGAAGAAACCCTTGCCAATCCAAATTTAAAATCATTTGTTAGAAGTGACTACTCCCCATTCACTATTTTCTCTTCTGTTAAATTACATTTAATTTTCTAGAGGCCAAGAACTGTAACAAAATAATGTTGACCCAAGTGCATTTGCTTTAGTCTTAAAATTTTGTTATGGTTATATCATAAAGTATTATCTTTGTCAGATCAAATAAGCACCATTTTGAGCATCTTCATTTAGTCACAGTGTACTTGAAAATAAAAACTGTGCTTCTCAATTCAGACTGTTGGGAGGGAGCTGCTGCTCCATTTGATAGACTTCCTGGTCACCAATGATAAGAGCGATCCGGTTGTTACAAAGCTAATTGATAGTACTCGGATTCATATCATGCCATCAATGAACCCAGATGGATTTGAAGCTACAACGGAGCCTGATTGTTTTTACTCAGAAGGACGGTAAGGATGTGTGGGTTTTATTTGACAGTGAGGGAGGGGGCAGAGGAAACCGTAAGCAGAGAAGTTGTTGTTTTATTAACATTTAGAGATAACTAAGTGGTTGGATCAAACTTGCTGGATAAAATAGCCTCAAAGCTACACTAGGGATATATTTTGAGCCACAATCTTTAGAAAGCACATTAATGGGGCACAGGCAGGCCCACTGATGGGGGTGGGGTGAGAGCAAAGGGTGCAATTACCCCAGGCCTTGTAATTCAAAGGGGTTTGGGGTTTTGGTCACTGCCACTGCCAAAGTAACAGTGGCTGAAGACACGGGACCCTTTAAATCACTGCCAGAGTGCTGCACCATGTACTTTTTGCAGCACTAAGGGCTAGCGCCTCGCACTCTGGGAAGTACTGAGGGATAGCTGCCCCTAACCCCGTCCCTTCTGGGAGTGATGAGACAGGGCCATGTAGGCCCATTTGCTTAGGGGTCTGCAAAGGCTGTCTGCTGAGAGAGAAAGTGTGGATATGCAAATGTGCTTGGAGATCAAAGGCAGGAGGGAGGAGAGATAGAATGTCAGCACTGAACTAGAGACAAATGATTGTCGTTTTTTAAGTGATATATCCTTGGATTATTCTGGATTCAGACTTATAGTATAACTTTTCAGGATCCTAAGATGTCAAAAAGTAAAGACAATCACAAGGACTTCAATTGAAAATCTCAAATGTTCCTAATCAGGAGCAGTTGCCCCCAACCCTTTTTTAAGATGAGGTAGATGAGAGATTCATTTTAAGTTTTCGGGGAGGGGGAGAGACATGAATACAATTTTAACAATGCCTATGCCAAACTGCGTGAAGCCTCCACTCCTGACCAGATCCACCAAGAAATAAAATTTAAGTGTTCACATTGAAACTGGACATTTTATGCAGTACAAAAGCACAGGTGATTCCATCCCACACTTCTTGTGCCTCAGTTGGGATTTCTATTTTGAGCCAATTTTAGGCGCAAAGATGGAACAGACAACTATAGAGGGAGCTCTTCATAGTTAGGAAGGTTCTTTGTAATGTTTCCTCTAAAGCAGGGCTGGCTTTACTTTGCATAGATAGGAAGGTGCTATGTAATGTTTCCTCTAAAGCAGGGCTGGCTTTACTTTTAGAGCACATCTCCACAGAGAATTTTAGGCAATTCTTTGACAGTTGGTCTAGCACCAGTGTTGCTAGCATAGACGACCAGTGCCCACAGCATTTTTATACCTCTGGGTATGTCTAGACTACATGGCTCCGTCGACAGAGCCATGTAAACAGTTTACCCGGCATAGTCACTGAAACGGGGATTTAAATAATCCCCGCTTCATTAAAATAAACGTGGCTGCCACGCTGTACTGACGATCAGCTGATCCGGGACATAAGGGATCAGTCGGCAGAGGCTTCCCCAGCCGACAGAACCGCATCTAGACTGCCATGCTGTGCCGGATCAGCTGATTGTTGGCCCAGCGCAGTGGCCATGTTTATTTTAACAAAGCAGGGATTATTTAAATCCCCACTTCATTGACTATGCCGGGTAAACTAGTTTACATGGCTCTGTCAACAGAGCCATGTAGTCTAGACATACCCTCTATGTCCATGTTGATTTTATCCTATTAAAACAAGATAAAAATATATCATCAGAGATGTTCACATTAGCTGCAATGAAACTACACTGACTATTGGAAGGAGAAATGTCAAGTTCCCAATTAAGACAAAGCCCATCTATGCTATTGAAAGTCAGAGTTACAATGTTGTATTAAAACAGTCTTGATAATGTGGATGAGGTTACACAAATGGAGCATTTAAGGGGTATTGCACTAATGGCAGCTGACTCTGCATGTGTCAAGTATTTGATGCCAAAAACCCCACAATCATTGAGCCACTTCTGCATGTTGTATGTTCTAGTGCTATTGCTGGTGACCCTACAGAGACCAAAAGTGTTAGAACATTTTTAACAGCTAGAGAGATAGGACAGAAAAAGATAAGGAAGAGAAATGCCCAGTGGCAGAGAACAAATTCATGAAGTTGGGAAGTTAAATAAGCACAGTGCCCACTCCTGCAACTCATATTCATGCAAGTAGTCATTCTGATTGTACCAGGACTATTGAACTAGTGCAAGCCCTGTTTTGGAGCAAGGTAGAGATTTATTCCTGAAACAAGTTGTTATGATTTTTATATAGAGGATGAGATTATTTTTCCATTAGAGAAAGTTTCCAAAAAATTGAGCTAACCCAATGAGATTTTTTTTTAATTAACACCAAAGTTAAATATTAATCAGATGGGTAGACTGTCCTCCTAGTAGAAAAAATAAAGAAAGCAGCATTTAAAATACAGAGGGAAGGAGTGTTTAAACTTACACTGTCAGAAGAAAAAAAATACTTTGGATATATATAAAGTTTTTATTGTCACATGTTTGGGATGACTGCATTACAGTCTGGCAGTCTTGTGTGAGTCATGTTTTCTTTCAAAAGAAGCAGAAAATCCTTTTATGCCATACCCACCCTTATTTGGCTTATGCAACAATGTGGTATTTTACTATGGTATGTGTGACATTTCAAGCATCACTTCCAATGTCTCCACTTATCAGTATTTTAATTACTTTACAGTAATCACCTATTGTGGGCAGAGGCTAGTAGTATCCCCAGTACAGTTTAACGTCACTATTTCATGATTTGTGAAAACATATTGGCTACGTCTACACTGGCATGATTTTCCGGAAATGCTTTTAACGGAAAAGTTTTCCGTTAAAAGCATTTTCGGAAAAGAGCATCTAGATTGGCACGGACGCTTTTCCGCAAAAGCACTTTTTGCAGAAAAGCGTCCGTGCTAATCTAGGCGCGCTTTTGCGCAAAAAAGCTCTGATCGCCATTTTCGTGATCGGGGCTTTTTTGCGCAAAACAGTACTGTGCTGTCTACACTGGCCCTCTTGCGCAAATCATTTGCGAAAGAAGGCTTTTGTCCGAATGGGAGCAGCATAGTATTTCCGCAAGAACACTGACGATCTTACATGAGATCGTCAGTGTTCTTGTGGAAATTCAAGCGGCCAGTGTAGACAGCTGGCAAGTTTTTCTGCAAAAGCAGATGATTTTGCGGAAAAACTTGCCAGTCTAGACACAGCCATTTTGTAATGCTCATACCATCCATGTACTGTTCCAGTAACTCTGTTCTTAGTTGTCACTAACACAGATCCAAAGCATTGTGAATCTATTCAGAGGCACTAGATTAACAAATATAGAACTGTATTCTCTCTTTCAAAGGTTCAACAAGAATGGGAAAGATCTGAATAGGAATTTCCCTGATGTCTTCAGCAGTAACAATGTCACAATCCAGCCAGAGACTCAAGCCGTGATAAATTGGATAAAAGACGAGTCATTTGTGCTTTCCGCTAACTTGCATGGTGGAGCACTGGTTGCCAGTTACACATTTGATAATGGTAACCCAGGTAAGCTAATATTAGGGTTTCCTCTTTGGAAAGCTTTTTCTGGCAGCTTCGGCGTGAGCAAAACAAAATACCTAATATGTTGGGGGAGAAGCACCAGACTTACATCAGTACTAAGAATTTCATTGGATCACACAAACTGATGTGTAGGTTTGGAACTTCATATGCTTTTTTATCTAAGACAGTATAGTGTGTCTTAACATTAACTTGGTCTGTACCATCTTTATTATACAGCTATTGGCTCTTTAGAAGACTATAGCAGATCCCCAGATGATGATGTTTTCATACACCTTGCAAAAATCTACTCTTCCAACCATGCCAGCATGTACAAAGGGAATCAGTGTGAGAATAAACCAGTCTTTCCACATGGCATTACAAATGGGTATGCCTGGTATCAACTGCAAGGTAAAAAATTCAGTGTTTTCCCATTTTCTCTGATCTTCACTGCTTTTATTTTATCTTCCAACATGTACTTGCCAACACACCTCTACATTCATAGATAGCAAAAGCTCTGTGGCTTGTCCACAATGGAGTTTAACTCAAGTGAGCTGATTACTAATTAACTTGAATTTGCCAACATATTTGCAAGTGCTAGTCTGGGCACTTCAGGACACAAGCATTTGTGGAGCATCCAGAGTAGCATGTACAAATATGTTAGCTAACACAAGTTAATGGGCCAGCTTCCACTGCTTGGGTTTTCTGTTCCTCCCTGCCCTCAAGCCCATCTCTTTTACTGCTCCATCAGCCAGCAGTGTCACCTGTCAGTTGCACCTGTATTTCCCTTTTATGGTCCAGCAAGCGTACTTGCTCTCAGGCTTCTGGTTCCCCTTGCTGTCACCTCTCTTGGGATCTCTGGCTGAACAGTTCTCTGCCTTCACTATCCTATCATCAGTAACCAATTTCTCCCAAAGTAAGTTTCTCTTGTTCTCTCTTCAGAGACTAACAGAAGGATTGGTAACTTTTATAAGTTAACCACCCAGCATTGCCTATGCAGGCCTATTTTATTCTTAAGGTAAAAATACTAAAGAGAAAACATTAAAAACAATCAAATAATCTACATACAAGCTAATAAAGTAACTAGCGTTCACTCAACCCTATCATGAGCTCTGGAAGGAGGAGTCCTTCAGAATCACACCCAAAGGATTTCCTTCTGGTTTCAACTTCATCACAGGTTCAGCTCAGAACAGGCACATTCATGACAAGCTTAATCCACCCTTTATACAGTTCAGGGGTCTTTGATCTGGAGTTTCTATCACACAATTGGTTTCTCCACCCAGGGCATAAATTCAAAGGGATGGATTTAAAGTGGGTTATTTTGCATTCCCTTTACTCAGATATTTCCTAGGAAATCCACTTTACATGCATTGTTCCAAACAGTCCTTGGACATTCCTCCTATCACTTGTCCATTGCATGTCTTCTGGCTAACAAAGTTTCATGCGATTCCACAACAGTTCGTAAATATATGCATTTTTAATATAATGCACCCCCTCAAGGTATTATACTTACTGCAATACAGCCGCTCTCCGAGTTACAAACGAGTTACAGACCAACACTTGGTCCGTAACTCGAACTGTTCGTAACTCGGATCCCATATAGTTACATGGCAACCGTGCTGTTCGTAAGTGCGGATCGCAGTTCGTAACTCGGATCCACGTTTATGACCACTTTGGTCGTAAGTGCAGATGGTTGTAAGTGGAGGTGGCCTTAAGTCGGGGAGCGGCTGTAAATTATATCTTAGTTTTATAAGGTTTGTCCAGAACATAACTGTTACATCTCCCCAGAGCTCCTCCTTAGCCAGCTGGTACAGCTATCTATCTATTGGCAAGCTGCCACTGAGGCTTCCCCCTCTCTTACTGCTGTCAGGACAGCTTTCTGCCACTCAAATATAGCAAACCCATTGCCTCCATTTGCACTTGCTCCTTCCTCTCCACCCCCACAATACACAAACAGAGAGAAGAGATTAGTTTTTATGCATTAATATAGATGCACATTGTCACAGCCCCCATGCGTTATGAACATTGGCTTATGTGTATGAAAAGGAATAACTTGATTATGCTTTATCGAAAATAGATCATATGACATGTCATTTTGCTGAATCTGTACTTCCTATTTTTGTGCATGTATCATTCTTGTATATTAAGTTAGAAATATGAAGTGTGACTGTGCTAATAAAGACTGTTACTGATGCTGCAGAAACTTAATGATTCGGTATTCAAACCAACAACCCGTGAACAGTCTTGTTTGTCCTGTGAGCCCAAACTGTGGTTGGTTCCAGAAAAACATGTTGCCAGGCAGGCCATCTGACGCTGGAATCCATTTTGGATTCTGTACTTTTCCACTTAAGGTGAGAAAAATTTGAATTGAGCACAAAGAATCCTGTCTTGGGCAAAAGGAATGTAAGAGGGGGAAACAAAAAATAGGGGCAGTTGCCCGGAGACGTTTCTTACCACCTACGATGCCTGCTGGAAACATCTAAGACTGAACAGGAGGAAGAATTGTGCCCAGGCTAGGAGGGTACTTAGCTTGTGAAAGCGATGTTGAGAACAAGTGTTTAGGGAAGGTGCGGGCAGTCATTTTTGATGGGGGAGGTACTCCAAGAATTTGGAAAGTGGTCAAGGGTCGCACTCTTCTATGATATTAATTGAAGAGGTACAGCATCTGGGATGGCGGTTGGGTGAAGAAAGGGAGCTTGCGGTAAGGGACTGGGGTGCAGGAGGTGGTGTGAAGTTGGGGGGGGAGTTTGGTTGATGGAGGAGGTTGTGACGTGGGGCAGGACACTAGGATGCAGGTGTTTGGGCTGTGACCTGGAGCAGGGGGCTAGGGTGTAGGAGGAAGTCCAGGGGTTTGGGTTGTGACCTGGGGCAGGAGACTGGGGTGCAGGATTTGGGAGAGGGTATGGGTACAGGAGGGGAAACAGTGTGTTGGGGTATCAGGGGCAGGCTCTGGCCAAGAGACTTACTTGCTCAACTCCTGGCTAGTAGCCTTCTCAGGCAGACACCTTGCACATATTTAGTAAGCTATTTCTAGATATTCAACAAGCCTTATTCCAAGTTTGGCAGAGCCTACATTCCTCCGAGAATTCTCCGTATTACAAATGCCAAATTCAGATTTTTAAAACCTACAGCAGGATGGATAAAATAATCATAATAAAATATATAATGGAATTGTATTAAATACTTTTAAAAAATACACAAAATTACAGGCAGTCCCCGGGTTACTTACAAGATAGGGACTGTAGGTTTGTTCTTAAGTTGAATCTGTATGTAAGTTGGAACTGGCGTCCAGATTCAGCCGCTGCTGAAACTGATCAGTTTCAACAGCGG